TTCAAATAAATAAGTCCTTAAGGAAAACAAAACAAGCAAAAAACACAGCAAATAAACAAAATAGACATCCTATCCAAACTAGAGCCAAGGACCTATAACCCTGGCTATCTGGATGGAGGTCTAGGAAGCTGAGAAGATAAAAGGCAAAACCAGCAGTCAACAGCTCGGGTTTTAAGCAAGAGTCTGGCTACCCTCAAGGGGAAAACCAGGACTCTCAATGCGCGCAGATCACTTTCACGGTCCCCAAAAAAGCTGTGAGCAAGCAGGCACGGTACAATCACATGGATATTTTAAAGGAATCTCTTTGCTAATCTTCAACTTCTGTAAGAACTGTGTTTTCTAAAACGGAAAATATGCCTTCTTTCCCCGAAGAAACCTGTATCTTTCACTTATCCCAAACAAATTTATTAGTTTTATAAACAAAAGACATATTAAAGCTACATTTTAGTTCCCAGGAAGCCTCTTAAAAGATTAAACATAGGCAGTCTGCCTCTTCCTGGCCTAATGTTACTCAGATTCTCAGAAATTAGAAAAACAAAAGTAACACAGGTTAATGGTATAAACCCTGTATGTGTAAACTGTACTGGAACTACTAAAATTTAAAATCTGGGTTAAAAAGCTCCATAAAAACTTGTATGAAAGTCCAAAAAAGAAACCGACATGACAAACCACAGAAACGCATAATTTTAAACTAAATGGTCCACCTAAATAACCTTTCACAGAATTCTTCAGGATGCTCACTCCACGGACTCCCTCTACCCCTATACAAGGAACTATCTAAAAAAGTATCCCCTTGGGCCTGATGCGGTAGCTTAGAGGCTGAAGTCCTTGTCTTGAACGTGCCAGGATCTCATATCTGCACCAGTTCTAATCTGGGCAGCCCCTCTTCCCATCCAGCTCCCTGCTTGTGGCCTGGGAAAGCAGTTAAGGATGGCCCAAAGCCTTGGGATCCTGCATACGCGTGGGAGACCCGGAAGAGGTTCCAGGATCTTGACTTCAGATTGGCTCAGCTCCAGCTGTTACGACCGCTTGGGGAGTGAATCATCGGACAGAAGATCTTCCTCTCTGTCTCTCTGACTTTGCAATAAAATAAACAAATCTTTAAAAAATACACAAAAGTATCCCTTTACCAGAAGATTCCAAGGGACCATTTATTCATCCTATCTACTTTTGCCCTCAGCATTGGGCTTGGACCATAACTGACCTCTGACTTGTATAAACTAATTAAAACAGGTTTCTACTTCTGGGGAAGACAGTAAGCTCACGCCACTCCTACCTAGAATTGTAACTCAGTCCTGGATTCAGAACAAACACGGGAGTGTGACCACCAGAAAAGCTGTGCTGAGACTGTCACATCTGAGGCTCAGGAACTTTGCACCACACCCAAGGCCCATCAATTGTCCCTGATACTCAGGGACACAAATCACTTCCTGTCATCACTCCTGTACAGGTGCATATGAGGGCAACAGCTTGAAATGAACACTAAAATCAGGGTGGAAAGTGAGATCTATCAACACCAACCGGTAGTTTCAAGGTCACCTAATTGGCATTCTTTTCTTATTTTTTCAAGTAAAGAGTAGGAATTCTGCCAGTTCTCATCATTGACTAACGGCTAGGAATACCCCATTCAAACTGCTCTTACTGCTCCTAATGTACTTCTAGCATCAGAATAAGGAAGGTAATAAATTTCCAAAACTAGGTCCAAAGAGGAAGTAAAAACAGAAAAAAAAACAAAAAAACAAAAAACAAAAACAAAAAAAACCCAGAAAATAAACCAGATAATGCTTAACACAAGAATTTAAAATGGCCTGAACTGTAATTACTTAGAAGTGGCTAAACTTGCTTCTTTCAGACATAAGAATTAAATATAATGACTACACGAAACTGCCCAACCCTGCAGGGCTCTCCAGAATGTTCTTTGGTGATGGAAATCTGAGTCTCTGCTGCCCGTGGGCCAGTCCCAGGGATGGGCACCTGTGGCTAACACTGTACTTTGAGATACAAGAGAACTGGTGCTATTGGGAAAGAAAGGCAAACCAAGAGTAAAGGAATTTTAAATTGTATTTAACTTTAATTAACCTAAATTTAATGTTGCTAAATGTGGCCAGTGGCTAATCAGTCCAGCCTCCCTAAGTTAACTTTCTTTCTTTTTTAAGATTTATTTTTACTGTGAATTCAGATATACAAAAAGGAGAGACAGAAAGGAAGATCTTTCGTCCAATGCTTCACTCCCCAAGTGACCGCAACAGCTGGAGCTGAGCTGATCCAAAGCCAGGAGCCAAGAGCTTCTTCCAGGTCTCCCACACAGGGGCAGGGTCCCAAGGCTTTGGGCCGTCTTCAGCTGCTTTCCCAGGCCACAAGCAGGGAGCTGGATGGGAAGCAGGGCTGCCGGGATTAGAACCGGCGCCCATATGGGATCCCGGCCCAAGCAAGGCGAGAACTTTAACCACTATGCTGTTGTGCTGGCCCCCCTAAGTTAATTTTCAACCATGACGTTCCCACCCACCCCTTGTGGACAGTCTCTGCTGTTTGGAGGCCTTTTCAGCTGTTCTGGTTTTGGGGGAGCATCCCACAGGTGGAGGTTGGGGTGCGGATAACCAGTCAGCAGCTCTAACCTGAGACGCTGCACTTCCACGAGGTTTTCACTGAAAAGTATGTGCGTAGATAACTTTCATCACCAGAAAAATCAATTTCTGTGGCAGATTTGTACTTGAAAATGAACATAATCATGTGAGACTGTTCTCTAGGGTCTTATGTCAGAGCTGAGCAGGGGTGTTGAAGCCCTTCCTCCACATCTAGTCTGAATTCCTTGCCTCCCCAATTTTTGTAATTTCTTGAGAAATGACTAATTTCACCACCAAGACACCTGATGCTATCATGAAATGAAAGCAAATCAAGAATGGCTCCGTCACCGCAGTGCATTTACTCTCATGTCACTGAAAGAACAGGGGATCAGGACAGCGATTCCGCAGTATGGAGGGCTCATTTTTAACAGGCTCACTCAGAGCCACTCAACCAATTCTCACGTTTGTATTAGTAATGCAGAATTCAACCAGGAGCAGTCCACTCCCCAAACACCAGGAACCACAGACGCAATGGGTGTTTCCTTTGACATGAACTGCTTTTCCAAACACAAAGCCATCACCATTCATATCAGAGCAATTCTTTTCTGCTCACTTGGCCCAAAACAGAAATCACACATTACATCTAAGTCCCTTTATTACTTCATGGAATACAAAAATGAGACAGTTCTTGTTCTTGTAAACCTCAGACTTTTCCTGAAGCCCGCAGGGTGTGATTTTCCAAACATTCAGTCCATTTCATCAACGCCCCAGCCTTAAGCACCTCAGCTGGATCTCCACTCGGTGCCTTTCCTGCCTTGTCCCACCAGCGACGAGCGACGAACGAGGCAGCAAGTGCTGTGGTTGATTAACCCAAAGCCAGGAAAGCAACGCGCAGAGCAGGATGCTCACCTGCTCTGTTCTCACTCCTGCCTTAGAGAGAGCTTTCTTTGTTCCCCCTTGGAGAGATCACACCCCTTCTTTAGCTTTCCAACTAAAATGACACAACGCTCACGCCATCTTGCCAAATTGGGAACACCACAAAATGAGCCTTTTTAGCTTTCTGTGTTGCCCGCCGACACACAGGGCCTCAACCAACGTTTCCCCAGGACCTGTTAGGAACGATGGAAGATGGCTAGCAGCCACTGTGGCCTCTCCCCACCGACAGTATCTGCAGAACCGGCCCCAGATGTCCGGAGGAACAAAACTGCTGAGAACCGCTTATCCACATGCAAAGCAAGACACTGTGCTAACCGGAAGCCTGGAACTTCACTCCTAGCCAGTCAAAACAGGTAAGCATTCGCCTCGCCCACGGAGGCGGTGGTGGTGGGAGGGAGAGGAACAACTTGTCAAGTTCTTGAGCATTGAGTAGGTAGGGCATTGGCACCGTGGACTCACATCCACTTCTACAATTACTGCCCAGGATGGACCGTGGCTAAAGCAGCTGCTGCCCTGGGGGTGTTTCTTGTCCACCACCGCCGCCCCTGTACCCCAATAGTATGGAAACCGGAGTCAGCCTGCATCAAACTGGATAAGTGCAGGCTGGACACAAAAAAAAAGGGCTTGGAGGTAAGGCCCGCTGTGAGTCATGGAAGGCAGGGGTCCACGAAGCTCCCCCCAGTCCCACCTAGGGCGGTACACCACGATGCCTGCTCGTTGCCCTCGCCATGGCTGACTCCGAGGGTCCTCGCCCGGGGGACGGTGGAGCTTGGGCGATGCCCGGCCTTCCATGCACACGCACCGAGCACCCACTCCCTCCGCATCCCAGCGTTCGCAAGCGACAGCATCCGCGTCACGTGGGGGGGAACTTGTTAAACCTCACAGCCCGGTCCCGCCCCCCCAGAGCCTCAGACCCGAGGGCTGAAACGCTGGCTTCTTTTTTTTTTTAACCCTTTAAAACGAAGAGCCCGCCCCCCCTCCCAGGTGATTCCTATGCCACGTTCAAGTTAGAACACGCACAGCTTAAACCCATTTTCTCCCTTAGGTCAGAGGCCACGGAGAACCTGCAGGTTTGCAGCTGGCTGCTGCTTTCCCGGAGCTCCTACCATCCATCCTAGAAGGCCTCCGGAGCTCAGGCCCGCCCAAGCTCGGCCCCGCCGGCTCCTCGCGAAACCGGGCTCCGGGCCCTTCGCGGCCGCCACGGGAGCCGGTCCACCCTCCGGCGGCCCACCCGAGCCTGAGAGGCACGGGTCCCGGCCTCGCGACGTGACCCGGCCCCGCGACGTGACCGCCAGCGCAGGCCCGGACGCCTGCCCGCACTCGCCTCCCGCTCCCGAGCCCACCAGGCCTCCTCACACGGACCCCATTAGCCCCCCGGCTCCCTTCCCTCCCCGGGTCACAATGGCAACTCGCGACGCCGACACGGCCGCCCCCCCGAAGCCGAGGGCCCCGAGCCGCAGCGGCGGCGGCACCACCACCGCCACCACCACCCGTCCCGACCTTCTCCAGGGATGCGTCCATGGCTGAGGCGGCCGGCGGAGTCCGCTGGCGGCCGGGCCCTCCGGCGCGCTACTTCCGCCTCCCGCGCCCCGCCGCGGTTTCCACGCTGGCAGCGCTGACGTCCCCCGCGCCCGCGGCCGGCGGGGAGGAGGAGTGGGAGGAGCTGCCGGGTCTCGCGGGGGGGGCGTGGCCGCGCGGCGGAGGGCGTGGCCGCGCGGCGGGGGGCGGGGCCGCGCGGCGGGGGGCGGGGCCGCGCGGCGGGGGGCGGGGCCCCGTGCGGGGCGGGGCCCTCTGGGCTTCCGTACCTGGCCATCACCAGGTGTGTTGGGGGGAGGACGGGGAGGATGGATGGTGGAGCTACTCCGAAACGACCGCTTGCACCGGCAAGCCGCAATCATCGAGTTAGGGGTTTATTAGTCAAGACGTGATTATTCATGAAGTGAAGGGGCAGAGACTCGAGTGCACCTCCGGGCCCAGTCTTCCAGGTTCGTCCCCGACCCTCAGCCTCCCTCGGGAATGGAGCAGGCCGTTCCTCCCCGGGGGCGGGGCGGGCGAGCGCCCTTGCGCACGCGCAGGACCCACGGCGTCCGGGTCGCTCGGAGATTTTGGAGGGTGGAGGCGGTTTCGGGGTTGGTCTCTTAGGCGACCGCCGTTGCGCAAAGGCACGGCTCCCCGAAATGAGGTGTTGTTTCGTTTTTCAACTTCAAGCCTTTCTTGCTGCGGAATTCTAGTTGGCAAAGATTTTGAAACACCTGGGTTCAGCGTCCTCCTTTGCTGTCACAATTGTGACTTGTCCAGGGATGGTAATAATGATGATAATAATATAGTTCCGCGGCCGCTCTTGCAGGGCTGTGACACGGAGGTCACGGTCCCTTTTCTACGGTGAGAGTCGGACCCGCGCACCCTGACTCCTGGTCCAGGTTGTCCTCTCTCGGGAGGATGCCTTAGGCCACCAGGTCTGGGGTTCCTCGGTGCCCCTGCCTTGGGCGTACACCTTCCCCAACCCGGGGAATGGGCTGCCTCGCATGTGTTACATTTCCGGAGCTGTCCACTTTGTTCTGGGACAGATATTCCGTTTTTGTTCAGAAAATCGATTTTCAACCAAACGAGACATTGCTGTCCAAACGGTTCTGCAAACAGGAGGGATGGTCGGCTTATGTCTTCCCAAAGCTAAAATTTAAAACACACCTCTGCTTTGAGCACATTCCTTTTTCTGACAACGTGGATTTTGAAATTTCTTTTTAAATATGTACTTATTTTATTGGAAAGACAGAGTGGAACTGGGTGCAGCACAATAGCCTAGCGGCTAAAGTCCTTGCCTTGAACACGCTGGGATCCCATATGGGCGCCGGTTCTAATCCCGGCAGCGCCACTTCCCATCCAGCTCCCTGCTTGTGGCCTGGGAAAGCAGTTGGGACCCTGCACCTGTGTGGGAGACCTGGAAAGAGGTTCCTGGCTCCTGGCTTCGGATTGGCTCAGCACTGGCCATTGCGCTCACTCGGGGAGTGAATCATCTGACGGAAGATCTTTCTCTCTGTTTCTCCTCCTCTCTGTATATCTGACTTTCCAATAAAAATAAATCTTTAACAAAAAAAAAAAAAAAAAAAACCTTACCGAATTTAGAAAAGGCTGCAATCCCTAAAGGCAACGCAAGGTGGCAGTGCTGAGGCCATCGGTAGCCCATCATGCTTTATTGATCCTGAGTTCACTAACATGTCTTTAGGAAAATCAGCCTTTTTATTGTTAAAATATTGAAGGGGCCAGACACCAGTTCCTGACCTGGCTGCTCCACTTCTGGTCCAGCGCCCTGCTAGTGGCCTGGGAAAGCCAGCAAAAGATGGCCCAAGTGTTTGGGAGACCCAGAGGAAGCTCCTGGCTCCTGGCTCCTGGCTTTGGCCTGAATCATACCCAGCCATTGCAGCCATCTGCAGAGTGAATAGGCAAAGGAAGGTCGCACTCAGTCTTTCCCTCTCTGACTTTGAAGTAAATAGATAAATCTGTTAAGATGATAAAATACTAAAGACAGCATAAAAGAAATAAATTATCATTGACCAACACCCTGTAATCATTCTCCCTCTATACCATGAAAGGAACACCCAGGGTCCCCTCCTAAACACAACCCCAACCCCCCCCATCCGAGGAAGATGCCCCTTTTTGCTTTTATTGACTGGTTTCAAAGAGCAACAGAGGAGAGACACAGGGATCTTCCCTCTGCTGATTCACTACCCAGATGGCTGCAATCGCTGCAGCTGGGACAGGTCAAAGCCTGGGGCTTGGAACTCCATCTGGTTCTCCCACATGGGTGGCAAGAGCTGTTGGGCCATCTGCTGCCATCCCAGATACATTAGCAAGGAGCTGGACTGGAATCGGAACAGCCGGGACTTGAAACCAGCACTCCGACATAGCATGCAGACTTTGAAAGGAGCAGCTTAACAAGCTGTACCATGTGGCTGGCCCCGGCAATCATTATTTACATAGTTGGCTGTGATACTGTGGTTTCTACATCCACAGATTCAACTAGCTTTGAAGCGAAAACATCTGGGAAAAACTTTTACCTGTCCTGAATATTTACACACGTCTTTTTGTCATTACATTTTAACTAATACAGAGCAACCATTACACAGCGTTTGCATCATGTGAGGTATTGTCAATGGGCTAAGGATGACTTAAAGTGTATGGGAAGATATGTGCAAATACTGTACCCATTTTACTTAAGACACTTGAGCAGCCAGAGTCTGGTGTCCACAGGGGGTTCTGGAACTAATCCCTGGAGCCACTTGTATTTTCCTTTTAGTTTTATCATCCAAATACCCCTTAACACCGACTTTGCATTTTTTTAAAATTAAGATGTATTTATTTTTACTAGAAAGGCAGATCTACAGAGAAGGAGATACAAAAGAGAGAGAGAGATCTTCTGTCTGCTGTTTTGCTCCACAAATGGTTGCAACAAGCTGAACTGAGCTGATCTGAAGTCGGAACCTAGGAACTTCCTCCGGGTCTCCCATGTGGATGCAGGGTTCCAAGGACTGCCATCCATGAGCAAGCAAGGGTTGCTAAGTTCCCACAGAGCTTTCTTTACCAACACTGCATTTTGAATTCATTTGATGTCCAGGGGTCACAAGACAGACTTTTTAAGTTTTTTTTTTTTTCCAAAACTCATTTAACATACAGTCATTTTTGGCTCTTTGGCCTCCACATGGACAGCTTGTGGGCAGGATGTGCTGACCCCTCTCATTCCTGCATCTCAGACACCTCAGGTCACATGCAGGAGACTAGACACAGATGAATTCATAATACTGTGGGAACTCACTCACATGGAATTTTAGAAAGCACAAACCATTATAAAGATAGCAATCGTTGGCCCAGGGAACAGGGCCTACTGGAGGCCAGGGCGTGCTAGGAAGCAATGTGGAAGTGCTAATCAAGGCCATGGTTACACAAGTGTATGTATGAGGGAATTTTCAAAAGTTCACTGAAAATTACAATTAAAATTTAAGCTTTTGTTAGTGTAAAAATAATTTCGAAATCCATATTTTTTTTCATACTCCCTTTGTTCTATAACCTTTCTGAAAACACCTTTGAGGGCTTAGATGTCAAAACTGTTTTTGCACCAAAATAAATGTATCTTTTTGATTTTTAGACTTTTTTTAAAAAGATGTATTTATTTTCATTGGAAAAGCAGATTTATAGAGAGAAAGAGAGACAAAGAGAAAGGTCTTTCATTCGCTGGTTCATTTCCTAAATGGTTGCAACAGCTAGAGCTGAGCTAATCTGATTCCAAGAGCTTCTTTTGGGTATCCCATGTGGGTGCAGGGTCTCAAAGCTTTTGGCAATCCTCTACTGCTTTCCCAGGCCATAAGCAGGGAGCTGGATGGGAAGTGGAACAGCTGGGACACCAACCACTGCCCATATGGGATGCCAGAGCTTACAAGTGGGGGATTGGCCTGTTGTACTGCTGCACAAAATAAATATATGTTTCTTTCTATTTCGACATCCTTATTGAAGTACCCCTACACATTTGTCAAACTCTTGGAACTGCATGTGGAACACCGGGGTATTTTATTATTGCTACAACATACTTCTGAAGGGAGATTTCTGTTCTGAATGTTGAAAACATTTGTTCAGTGCTAATTAACTGGATATAGAAGTAAATAAAACCAATCTATGCATGATACTTTGCTGATGTATTATTAATTTCCAAGTGCTTAAAAGACTATTTCTGTTATTATTTTACTTATACGGAAAGGACTTTTCTGTGATATTTGAACAGTTCTGACATTTGTCACAGCGGTAGGGTTGGACATGGTAATATTGATGCAATGGCATGAAAGAAATTTGGGGGCTGGAAATGCGCTATATTGGGTTTGGCTGTCATCTGCATTGTCCGCATCCTATATGGGCACTGGTTCGAGTCCAGCTGCTGGAGGATGCCTCAGGTAGTTGGGTCCCTGGCATCCACAGGAGACATGTGATTGAGGTCTTGGTCTCTGTCTTCAGACCACTCAGCCCTGGCTGTTGTTATCACTTAAGCAGGAACTCAGTAAGTGGAAGACCAAATAGGTGTCTCTATCATTCCAATAAATAAAAGAAATTAAAATTTTTATATTACTCTTCCTAATTCTTTCTGTAATTATTCTAGATTTTTTTTGAAAAGAAGAGACATACTTGTTTTTATTGGAAAGGCAGAACAGGTTTATGGAGATCAGAAGAGATAGAGAGGAAGATATTCCATCCACTGATTCACTCCCTAGATGGACACAAAAACCAGAGCTGAGCTGATCCGAGGCCAGGAACCAGAGGGCCCAGCTTGCATTGACCAGGATCCTATAAGGGGCACCTGTTCCACTTCCTATCCAGCTCCCTGCTTGTGGCCTGGGAAAGCAGTGAGGACGGCCCAAAGCCTTGGGACCTGGTGGTAGACCAGAAAAAGTCCCTGGCTTCTGGCTTTGGATCTGCTCAGCTCTGGCCACTGTGGCCACTTGGGGAGTGAACCAGTGGATGAAAGCTCTTTGTCTATGTCTCTCCTTCTCTCTGTAAATCTGTCTTTGTAATAAAAAATAAATATATCTTACAAAAAGTGCGTAGAATTATGAAAAAACAATTGCAGATGAAAAACTGTGATTAATTCACTTTTTGTGGAAATTAATAGTGGATTTGTGTATTTAAATATGCAGTAGATAAACATCTCCTGCTCCCCCACTGTAATGGAAGCCAGGACTACCATACGGGAGGCAGGAACCCAACCACCTCAGACACCTCTGCTGCCTCCCAGGTTCCCCTTGGCCAAAGCTGGAGTGATGTGACGAGCGGGGCTGGGCGGGGGACACAGGCATCTTCACCTCTAGGCTGAATGTCTAAACCCTGGCGTCTCTACAAGTTCCACGCATCCTGATCATACAAGCACACTGGACAGAGAGCATCCGAGTCCATCCCACAAGCACCGTCGAAGGGCTCTGTCTCCACATCCCAGTCACATGCTGAGTCCCTGGGCGCTAGGCTTCAGCACACGATTTTGGAGGAGACAAAATTCATCCCGTAACAGAACTGATAGTCTTGGGGACAGTCTATAAAATAACAGACGATTAGTTACACAGTCTCCCTGTTGGAGACTATGGCAAAATGACCAGTTGGAGCAACGCAAAAGGGATCTAGCGCTGGACGTCAGACGGGAAGCAGAGGTTGCGAGGGGACAGTGGCAGTGATCTCAATGAGCATGTAGATTGGGTAACAGGATTATGCCTACCCGGTTTCCTCGCCTGGGTAATCGCACTGTGATTATGTATGTTGCCAATATTTGGGGAGGTCTGGGTGAGGGGCAGATGGGAACTCTTTGTACTATTTCTGTAACTTTCTCCCAAGTCTGGAATTCTTTTCAAGCTCAGACATTTAAAGTGTAAGAAAGTAGGTAAATGAGGACAAATGAAAGGAGCCGGCTGGAGGGAGGGGAACAAAGATGGGACTGGACATGCCTGCGCAGGCAGAAGCAGCAGCCATGAGATAAATGCAGTCCCATGAGGTGAGAGACCCTGTCTGGGTTGCTGGCAACCTCGGCCCTAGGACAGTGCTGGGGTGCTGGGAGCTCAGGCGACATCCCGGGGGGGAGGGGAGAGCGACCAAGAGAAGGCACTAGGCATTGGGCCTCAGCTCACACCTGGGAAGGGCCTCAAGTGTTAACTTTGCAGATTCTCCCCAGACCAAGGTGGTGCCATCAGTGTTCTGTGTCACCAAAGCACTACTCACTTGCATGCAAACATTAAAAAAAAAGCTGCAGTTCAGGTAACTGAGTTTTGTTATCCCTTTGCTTTCTTCCCCCCCTAATTTTGTGAGATACAATTCACAATAAGCATTCAATTCTTCATTCAATGATATACTCACAGTGCAGTGGATCCAGTACCGCTATCTAATTACAAATGGAACCATCTGCCCAGTCATTTCGGATTGCTGCATTGCCCAACACCACGACCAGCACTAATCTGCCTCCTGTCTCTCTGAATTTGCCTGTCCTGGCCAATTTCACGTGAATGGGTCCGTACACCTAGTGGAGCAGGACCAGGCATAGTTCAAAGGCTGAGTTTCCCCCTCAGACTCGTGGCCACGGGATTGGATGCGCGGACTGGGTGTGTTTAGGGCGCCCAATCGCTTCGGAGCGTCTGAGCGTCTGGAAGGGGCAGGTGCGGGCGGCTGTGGAGCCGCGGCGGGCGTGGGCGGCATCCGCTGGGTGCTGAAGCCCGGCTGGGCGGGCGGTCGCTCCGGACGCCCACGGCGCGGGCATGGCGGGCTGGTGGCGGGCGCTGGCGCGGGCGGCCCAACGCCACCCCTGGCCCACCAACGTGCTGCTCTACACCAGCCTCTACTCGGCCGGAGACGCGCTGCAGCAGAGACTGCGGGGCGGCCCTGCCGACTGGCGCCAGACGCGGCGCGTGGCTACGCTGGCCGTGACCTTCCATGCCAACTTCAACTATGTGTGGCTGCGCCTGCTGGAACGCGCGCTGCCGGGCCGCGCTCCGCGCACCGTCCTGGCCAAAGTGCTGTGCGACCAGACGCTGGGTGGGCCCGTGGCCCTCTCGGCCTTCTATGTCGGTGAGACGGCCAGGGTCCCAGGACTGGGAGACCAGAAACAGGGGCAGGCTCATTTAAAGGGGGTGGGAGGAACTCGCTGCAGGGGCTTGTGGCTGGAGCCCAGAAGCGCAAGGAACCTGGGACCGGGAACCAGGGCTGGAAGTCAGGGCACAGTGGCTGGGCTATCTGGGGATCAGGCTTGGAGAAACTGAAGGTCCAGGTGTCAGGGATTGAGGTAGCTGAGTTTGAAACTGAGATGTTAGGGTTTGGCAGAGTCCAAAGCAAAGGATAAAGCAGGGCCAAGAGGTTCATTTCCTTGCAGAAAGGCCCTCAGGAACATTGAGGAGATGTGGTCTCCAAGTCGTAGCAATGCAATTCCTGGGGGGCCTTCCTGCTCCCAGAACAGCCACCCACACACTATGGGGGAACTGGTGGAACCTGGCATTGGGCCTGGCTCTTCTGTCATGCCCTGGTCCTGGTCTTGCTTTGGTAACAAGATCACCCTAGGGAAGACCTGGACAGACAATGTGGGGAGACCTCAGACACTTGCCATAGGGACCCCACTCCTTGGACTATTGTCCTGCGACTGGAGAGCCTGGCTTGGGGAACCTTCCTGATGCCTGAGTGCCAGGAATAACAGGAGGGGCTCCGGCGCCACCACCATCCTTTACATTTCTATAGCCTGGCAGATATTGGGGGCAAGTAAAGTGGGGAGGAGTGCTCATTTCTTTGAGAAATTTCCGTAGTTCCCCCAGAATGGGAGAGGCTCTCTCAGTGGCTGTTGGTGTGTCCTAAACCAGGGTGGAGATCAGGCAGAGCCACTGTCCTGGAGGAACTCTGGCCAGTGGCTTTTAGTTTGAGGGCCACACTCAGTTCCCTTTTCCCCAGACTGCACAGGAAGCCAGGAAGGGCTGCTTTGCTGCAGCCTCTGCTGGCAGGACCAAAGGGCTCTGCAGAAGGCACCAGTCAGGCTGCAGAAGTCTCCTGATCTCCTAGCTGTGGACCAGGGCCCAGGCTCTGACCCCCAGAACCAGGCTCCTCTGCCTGGTAAGACAGTGGCCTTGAGCACTGCAGTGAGAATGGCTGGGGGCTGTGATCTTAGGGTCCCGATTCTAGGTGCCCCTAACTCCTGGTTACAGGGCGTCTCAGAGGGTGTCTGGGTAACTCATCCAAAGATAATGTGATCCAAGCCCTGTTCTTAATTTGGATGCTCTAATGGTGATGGTGTTGTCAGTCAGTCTGACACCAGAAAGATGCTATGGACACAGGGCTGGGCAGCCTAAGATTCAGGCCGGAGGCACTTAGTACAGATTCTTGTCCAGTATGCTACTTTCCTTGGTGCTTTTTTTTTTTCCCCATCACATTTCTAGTCCAGTTTCCTTCTCCTCATGTTACCATGAAGGTGGGAGGAGGTGCACTGGGTGTTTGTTTAAGGCATTCTTTGAAAATTGCATGGCAAAGGATTAGATGATGCTTTGTCCCAGGGCCACCTTAGGGAGCCAGTATGGTAGTAGATTAAGGTCTGGTTAGGGAATCAGACACCTGGGTTGCACCCCTCTGGAATTTAACCTCTTTTCTTCCTTTTAACGTTTCCTCTTCAGTGAATTGTTGGGTGGGTCAAATGAAATGAGGCACATAGGGTGCTTGGCATTTAATCAATGCTGGGTAAGTGGAACACGACATTGCTGCTATTCACTTCCTAAATGCCTGGGTTAGGCTGAAGTCTGGAGCGTGGAAATTGTTTTCTTTTACTTTTTAAAGATTTTATTTTTATTGGAAGCAGAGTTATAGAGAAAAAGAGAGAGACACACACACAGAGAGGTCTTCTATCAGCTGGTTCACTCTTCAAACGGCTGCAACAGCTAGAGTTGAGCCTCTGGAGCAAGGAGCTTCTTCCCGGTCTCCCACATGGGTGCTGGGGCCCAAGGCCTTGAGCCATCCTCTGCAACTTTCCCAGGCTACAAGTGGAGAGCTGGATGGGAGGTGGATCAGCAGGGACATGAACCCAAGTCCACATGGGATGCCAGCACTGCAGGTGGAAGCTTAGGCTACCATGCCACAGTGCCAGCCTCAGGTGCCTGGAATTCTGAGGTCTCCACATGGGGGCAGGATGCTAAGCGCTTGGACAATCTCCTGTTGCCTCCCAGGATATTCTTTAAGAGGAAAAGACAGGAAGGGAACCCAACCATTGTGATATAGGATGAGGGTATCCCAAGCAGGGACTTAACTGACTAACCACTGCAGCAAAGGCTGTCCTGTTAAAGGATTCTTTTAAAGATCGTTTGTGGCATTTATATCCTGCATTTGGATTCCATGTTTATCATCCCTTAAAAATTAGTCTAGTTTTCAACCTCAGCCTGTTTTTACTGTTGAGTCAGAAGGAACATAGTGAATGGCTGATAGTAATTACTTTGCATATTGAAATAGGTAACTTTATATAAGCTGTTACACAGTAATCTTCCTACTGAACCTTTCAAAATTCCTTTGGGTTTTGTGTGTGTATGTGTCATAGGTATGAGCTTTCTCCAAGGAGATGAGGACATATTTCTGGACCTGAAGCAGAAATTCTGGAATACATATAAGGTATTTGAAAATGTAACCATATCTTCTTTTGGAAAGTGGAATCAGTATCTTTTTAAGTACTTTTTTTTTTTAACATTAAGTACCTTTTAATAAAACTGTTCTTGCATTCATGTTCCAGTTTGGTTGGTACATGGGTTCTTTTTTTTTATTTTTAAAGACTGATTTATTTGAAAGGCAGAGTGACACAGAGAGAGGGAGATGGAGCAATTGACTGGATCAATTCCTACAAGGTTGCAACAGAGTCAAGACCTCTACCCTGAATTTCTACCTGGGTGTCAGGGGCTCTCACACTTGGGCCATCTTCCACTAACTTCCTGGGTTTGTTGACAGGGAGCTAGACTGGAGGTGGAGCAGTCAGGTTCTGAACTGGCTCTCCCATATGAGATGTTAACAGTAGAGCTGCAACCTGACATAGTGGACCACAGTGCTGGCCCCAAACGTCTGCCATCTTGACAATGAGACCCTTGAATTTGTTTCAATGCATGATAAGTGAGAAGAGGTTTTATGCATGTTTACATTCTCAAGGATAGGTAGAACTGATATCTTTGTATTGTAGCCACTGGTCACCACGACTCCTGCTCCTATTGTAATTTATCTTATTAAGAATCAATTAATTCTGTAAATTCTGGAGCCAAAGCGACACACAAGTTGATTTACAAGTCTTATTTACAACATAAGCATTGTAGAGTGAGTGGCTTAATGGTCCTGCTTCCCATGTTCAGAACCCATGTATGTGTTTCCAGGTGTGCACTGTGCAGAGTCCCTGGGGACAGAACCTTCTCAGTGTCACACGGGTATTGATAGAGAAGGATGATGCTTCCCACAGGCTTTCCCAGACACGAGGCAAGACACCTGCTGTGCAGTGTGCTTAGTAAAAACAAACATGAACATAACCCAGTCTAGCAAATACTGATGCATTTGCTTGATCAAGATTTACTGAACAATGTCTTGGAGGCCTGAGAAAAACCAGAGATACTTTTCATCTCTGGTTTGGAGCTTTGTTCGATTACCTTTAATGACAATGGGGTGATGCTTCAGGATCCCAGAATATACACAGACTGGACTATGGCTTCATATGTACTTAATTCTCCACCGAAAGTCGTGCCAAGCCACATCCAGCTATTACCCACACTGGTTTTAGTGCGTGTTGTTGAGTGGTGTCACCCATGTGAGTGGCAGACCACAACTACAAGGAAAGAGTGTTCAGGGTAGTACCTGAGATACATTCTTCTCTTTCACAGCATAAACATTTTAAATATACTATGTATGTTTATTTTAATTGAAAAGCAGTGAGATGGAAACTGAGACGGCTCCACCATCTGCTGATCTACTTAAAAAAAAATGCCTAACATCTAGGCTGGGCCGGGCTGAAGCCAAGAGGCATGAACACAACCTGGGGTCTCAAGGACTTGTGCCCATGGGGTGTACATATCAGCAGGAAGCTGGAACAGGAAGCAGAGTTGGGGCTCAAGCCTAGGCACTCTGACATGGGATGTGGGGGTCCCAAGGAAGACATAAAACAGCTTTGCCAAGTACCTGCCCCTATAGCTTTTAAAAAAAAAACCCACTTATTTGGAAGTGATTTCAAACATACAGAAAATATTAAGAATTGTTCAAAGAACACACATGTACCCTTTGCTCAAACTTGCCTGCTATAAGTATTTTGTGCCATTTACTTTGCTGCTTATTATCTTTCCACCCATCCATCTATTCATTATCTGATTTTCTAAATCATTTGAGAATAAGTTATACGCAACTGCTGCTTACTGCTAAATTCTTAAGTCTCTCTTGTTAAGATAAAGCTATTTTCTTAATACCACAGTTACACAGTTATCAACTTCAGTGAACTTAAAATGTGCCTGGGAAAAGTGTCAGAAGATGGTCCAAGTGCTTGGGCTTCTGCCACCCATGTAAGCCTCTGGCTCCTTGCTTCTACCTGGCCCAGTCCTGGCCATTGCAGCCATCTGGGGATAGAAGCAGAGGATGGAAAAATCAATCTCTCACTAATGCTGCCCTTCAAATAAATACAATCATTAAAAACAAGAGAAAACCTCTATTTTTGTTTTGAGATAGGAAGTACATACCAAGGCCTCTCTCATATTTTGAAATGCCTAATGGTAATTTTTCTGTGTGTCAGAATGTGTAAAATGAAACCCGTTAACATATGCCTGTTGGGGTTGGGATATCGTGTGGCTCCTATCCCACATCAGGGTGCTGGTTCGAGACCTGGCTGTTCCTACTAATGTGCCTGGGAAAGCAATGTAGGTTGGCCCAGGTAGTTGGGTTCCTGACACCCACATGGGAGACCCAGCGGGAGTTCTTGGTTTCAGTGTGAAGCAGCCCCCACTTGCTGCACACATTTGGGCAGTGAACCAGCAGATGGAAAATTTTTCCTCCTGTCACTCTGTCTTTCACATGAAGCAAACAAATCAAAACATGCCTCACAGATTTTCCCACAACACTCTGCCCTCTCAGCTCTAGGAGCCTATTATTAATCAGCTTAGTCTGAAATACTTCCTGGGCATGCTCTCCACCTGGCATCTTAATCTTGCACAGAATGAGCTGTGTGATCGTTTGTGCCATTGGGAGGCATTTCTAATACGGTTTTTCTGTATTGCAGACTGGTCTGATGTACTGGCCCTTTGTACAGGTGAGTTGGACACGCCTCAGAACACCAAGTCATGGCTTTGGCCTCTGTGGAGACCTCATCGCCCCTCTCTCTCTCTCTGTTCCAGCTGACCAACTTTGGCCTCATTCCTGTTCACTGGAGGACAGCTTACACTGGACTCTGTGGTTTCCTCTGGGCCACCTTCCTTTGCTTTTCTCAGCAGAGTGGTGATGGCACGTTGAGCTCAGCTCTCACTCTGCTTGTCAGAAAGGGAGCCGGTGCAGCCGAGAGGCCCCCGGGGGAATGAGGTGGCACCGACTCCAAGTGTCCACAGTTGGTGTTCCTAAAGCACTCGGCTCACTGGTCATGTGCTGCATTGTGAAGAATCACTGTTCTACAGATCCATTTGTTTTCAATTATCAGTGATTTACATTTTTATACAGATCTTCTCCTCCCATTCCAGTGTGAAAGTCTTGCTTAATATTTTCACTTCTCTCAAATTTTGGTTAATACCACAACAGTGGCAGATGCCTAGTTCAGAATAAGTAATATTTGTATTCTAATATTTTAATGCCAGTTGATTTCAGGAACTCCAAGTGTGATTGTTTACCTCTGCATTTTAAAATCTCAGGTTCTCTCCCAAACATTTGGGTTAAATTGCCTTTTATACCAAAAATAGTCCTTATAGTAAAATTTCTACTTACATACCACTTAGTCAACAAGAAGACTGAATAATCAGATTCTGCCCCATACCTTATGACTTAATGTTGTGCTGATACTAAAATTCTGAAGTACATTTGTATCACCAGAACAAAAATAGTGTTTTCTGAGTGTGTTCTTTGTTGAACATGTTTTATCAATATCTTCTACTTCCTTTTCTTTTTTTAAAGGTTTATTTTATTTTTATTGGAAAGGCAGATTTACAGAGAGAAGGAGAGACAGAGAGAAAGATCTTCTGTCTGCTGGTTCACTCCTCAAGTGGCCACCACAGCTGGTGCTGAGCTGATTCGAAGCCAGGAACCCTGAGTTTCTTCCAGGGTCTCCCACATGGTTCAGGGTCCAAAGGCCTGGGGCTGAGCTCCACTGCTTTCCAGTGGAGTTCATGGGTCATGAACCCATGCCCATATGGGATCCCAGTGCATTCAAGGCAAGGATTTTAGCCACTAGGTTATCGTTGCTGGGCCATACTTTCCTTTTCCCCAATCCAAGGACATTTTCATTACTGATTTTTGGTGTTGAGCAATTCAGTTGTCTGGAGCACTCCATTCCCCAGCTGTATGAAGTAATGTGGCTTCTGAACGGGTATCTCTCATAGAAATCTTTATACTATTAGGCAAACATGAGAAACTCGATTCTATCTTTCTGATTTTTTGAGTAGTCTCAGGTTTAAAGATTTTTATGACTATGTCAAGAAGTTTCAGCAAATTTCACTTAAGAAGCACTCCATCCTGTTGCTCCAGGTGTGTTTCACAGATTGCAAGATGGTGGAGCACTGAGCTATTAATTTATCTCAAGAATGTGTGCTTATAGTTAACTTAAGAATGTGTACCTAAAATTTCTATGCATATATAATTTTAATATGTAAGGAAAATGGTTACATTTATAACTTCTAAATATATATTTATCTGAATTGAATAGATATTTGGTATATTTTATATTAGGATAATTGTAAGGAAATTGCTAGATGGTCTCGCTGTAAAACCATTTATTGTATTGTTTTAAAAGCAACTATTATAGCAGGAAAGCTATTTTGTGATCAATCAGTTTTGTTCAAATGGAAAAAATCAGTTTATGCATGAGTTGCCTGCTAGAGAAAATACTTAATAATATTTAGAAGATTTAATAAAAGGACACAATGCATTTAATTAATGTACTGAACAGTAAGATCTAAACCAACCAGGCAGAAATGATAATCTGTCATATTTTTGCAGACTGTTTTAGTACCTTAATGATAAATAATACTAAGCAAACCAAGATTTCTAGGCTTTTGGCCAAGAATGAGTTTTGAGACTAAGTTTCAGAGAATTTCCTGCAGGTGATAAGTGGATACTTGAATACAGCCGATGACTGTGAGTAGTTCATTTTCTTTCTTGGATAAATTACAAAGAGTAATATATACATCTTGAGTCATCTCTCAACAGTTTGGAGCAGTTATGCTTTCGGTGGGAGACATGAAAAGCTTTTTGCTATATTAAAAAAGAAGGGGTGGATAAAATAGTAAATTGTGGAGGCAGGCATTGTAGCACAAGGGTTAGGCAGCTGCTTGGGAACCTGTACCCCATACAAGAGTTCTAGTTTGAGTCCTGGATACTGCACTTCTAATCCACCTTCCTGTTAATGTATACCTTGGGAGGTATAAGAGGATGGCTTGGGTCACTGCTACCCATGTGTAGGAGTCCCAGAAGTCAGGTCTCCTGACTGTGGACTGGCCCAACTCTGGCTGTTGAAAGCATGTGGGGGGAAGAACGAGCGGATACAAGATATTTCTCTGTCATTCTGCTTTTCAAGTAAGTAAAAACAAACAAACAAACAAACAAAAAAAGGTATAGTAAGTTGCAAAGCAAAGGGTGGAGAAGGCTATTTTTGTGCAATTTTTGTCTGTAAATGTGGAGAAAGAATGGTGAACAGCACAGGAAAAAGTATAGTGACTCTTCATTTACTCTTGAATAATTCTGTTAATCACTGCAGAAACTTTGTACCCTAAGCCCTTTGGGATTTTAAGAGATAAGTGTGTGTGTGTGTGTGTGTGTGTGTGTGTGTGTGTGTGTGTGGACTATAAGAACTATCTGAAAATCATTCCTCTGTGATGAGTTTCCAAAGACCATTTTGAAATCGAAAAGGTAATAATTAATCAACTTCTGGGTTATCTTCATTTTAAAAATGTGGTGTATTGCTTCCTAGAGCTGCCAGGTTTGGGGAAGGACCATTTTATATGGCAGTGATGGTAGTGGTGTTGACTCAGGTCAGTAACTCAGGACTTTAATGTTATGTTGGGGCTTGTAACTGACCGGGATTTTACTTTGTTGGCTCTAAATTTGGACCAGAGAGGATCTCCCCAAGAAGCTGTTGAGCTTATACACATGTTGAGATGCTGGACTCTATGCTAGGTATAGGCTCACAGGGAAGGAATCTCAACTGAACTTGAACTATGGACACTCAACGGGGTGGAGGAGTCCACCATGAGGGAGGGTTGTGGGGGAGAGGGGGAAATTCCAGTACTAAAAAGCTGTATCACACAATGCAACGTAATAAACTGGAAAGAAAAAATATCTCAGGACTTACTACTCCTTGATCTGTTCTTTTAACCAAGAAATATTGGTTTATATTCATCTAACTGAAAGGAAAAGCAAGAAACACAGAGAAATCTTCCACCCATCTCTTCACTCTCTCAAACACCTGCAACAGCAAGGACTGACCTGGGCCTGGTCTCCCACGCAGGGGCAGGGTCCCAAGGCTTTGCGCTGTGCTTCACTGCTTTCCTAGGCCACAAGCAGCGACCTGGCTGGGAACAGCTAGGATACAAACCAGTGCCCATATGAGATCCTGGCACTTGCAAGCCAAGGATTTTAGCCAGTGAGCCATTGTGCCAGGCTGTTATGGGCATTTTGAAAATGAATCAGTAGGGGCCACATGTGGTAGCCTAGTGGCTGGAGTCTTGCCTTGCATGCGCCAGGATCCCATATGGGCGCTTGAGTGTGTCCCAGCATCCCTGATTCCCATCCAGCTTCCTGTTTGTGGCCTGCAAAAGCAGTGGAGTACGGCCCAAGGACTTGGGATGCTGCATTTGTGAGGGAAACTTAGAGGAAGCTCCTGGCTCCTGGCTGTGGATTAGCGCAGCTCCGGCCATTGCAGCCACTTAGTGAATCAGCAGATGGAAGATCTTCCTCCCTGTGTATATGACCTTTCAACAAAAATCAGTAAATCTTTGAAGAAAAAAAAAAAAAGAAAATGAATCAGTAAATGGAAGACTGCTGTTAATCTGCTTTTATCCGTCCCTCCTTAAAATAAAATAAACTATAATTATGGGCTTTTGCAGTGGGATAGCACACTAAGCCTCTATCTTGGATGTTGGAATTCCTTAGCAATGCTGGTTTGTGCCCCGGCTGCTCCATTTCCAATCCAGCTCCCTGCCTAATGCCTGGAAAATCAGTGGAGGAGAGGCCAAGTCCTTGAGCCCCTGCACCCTTGTAGGAGACCCGTAGTATGCTCCTAGCTTTGGACTGACGCAGCTCTGGATTCTGTGGCCATTGGAGAATGAGTCATCAGACTCTCTGTCTCTCCCTTTTTCTCTGTAAATCTGTCTTCCCAATAAATAAACAAACTTATAATTAAACTTTAAAAACGAAGTAAGCTCTGGGAGAGTAACAGCTTATAACTTGTGGTTGGCACCTGAGGGGTGCAGTCTTGAGAGACCAAGCCCTGTGAGGTTGGATGCTGTCTCCAGGTGGACAGTGTCAGAAGTGAGCTGAGCTGGTATGTGCCGGAGAATTGCTTGGCATGCTGGATAAACCCCCTTTCCCCACCTGTTCCTAAATGTGTTCTGTGTTGAGAGTATGGGTAGAGAGGGAAAGCTGTTTGGTTCCCTACAGACTTGACGAGTAGGAACAAGGAGGAGCAATGTGGCCCCAGCTAGACTCCATGAACGAACTAGACTCAGGCTGAGCAAACAGAACTGAGTTTCATCCTTTCCCATCCCCATGTGTAGGATGCTGCGTCCCCTCTGAGCAGTCTTCCTTCATCAGAGATGGTTCTGGCAGGGGGAGGGGTGAGATGGGACATGGGACCTGAAAGTAAACAGATGCTTAGGTGGTCTGAAAAGGGGCGTACATCTTTGGTTACAGTAATTTTGTGTTTGAGTGACAAGGTTTTTTTTTGTTTGTTTGTTTTGTTACAGAGGACTCCAAAATATGACAGCATGAGGTGAAGCGCAGGGAGGTCATTTGGCATGAGTTTGGGACTCCACTTGGAATGCCCACATCCTACCTCGATGCCTGGGTTTGAGCCCTGACTAGTCCCCATTCCAAGCCTTGCTGCTAATACACACCCTAGGAGGCAGCAGGCAACAGCCTAAGCTGTTAGATTCCTGTCACTCAGCTGGGAGACCAGAACTAAGTTCCCAGTCTCTTCAGCCTGGGCTATTGCAGACATTTAACGTGTACAAAAAGCAGGTAGAGGGACCTCTGTCTGTCTCCTTGCCTTTCAAATGAAGAAGATGAAGGGGAAAAAAGCCTAATAAGTAAAAAGGATATTTTATCATTATCTGTGGTAATGGTTAGTTATCTGTGAATCTGGCTAATATAAGGAGGAAGTCTGGGAAAATGCAGTTATAAAGTCACATTTTGGACACCATGCCATGATTAGCCCCTGCAAGTTGCAGTGTTTGTTCTCCACTGTAGACTTGTTGGCAGGAGCAGCCTTTTAGCCTGTATATCTGCTTCCAGACTCTAAATATTCCATACACATATTAGCTGAACGATCAAACTGGCGAATTTTAACCACAGGCATTGTCAAAGGGTAGAATTACAAAAAATTAGTGATCTTAATTGGCTTTATTTTGAATTCTAAAATCCCAGAGCCCTTCACTCCATTCTGTAAAGCAGAATCTGTGTTCTAATGGTCCCAGCAAGGGAGGCTGTTTTATAGACAGAGAAGGACTTAAAGCAGAAACAGAACCAAGAAGCAGACTAGTTCTTTTAGAGTTCATTTCTTTGTGAGGAGAGGACAGGGAGAGAGAACAAGCAGAAAACAACCGATTGGAGAGCAGGTTATTTCAGGCTACTTTTGTATCCCGAATTAGGCAGAAGGAACTTCATTACCATGCTGATCCAAACAGGCCTGTTTGGGAAATCGGACTGTTCTGTCTCTAATCCTGACTTCTGGGTGAGTCAGATAAACAGCTTCATTTCAGCTTAGCAGCTTGGGCCTTCAGTGAGCAGTTCCACTCTGATGTCAGTCTGCTCCATGCAGAAACTTAGTGTAAATCAATGGCCTCGAGTAATTTTTACCTCAAGGCTTAAACAATGGAGAACATGTTGAGTGGACACAGAGACCCTCAGAATGCATGTGGCAGTCAAATAGGTGAGAAGTTCACTGTGGCTGGGACTAAATATTGTTGGATGAACGACAAAACACAGGCATACCGAAATCTGCAGAAATGAATGAGAAGATTCTAGATCCTTAAGAGGTTTATAAAAAATTGTGATGAAGGGTCTGCCCTATTTCCATAATTTCAATGCAAACACTTACTCAGAACAAGGCCTTCACTTTCTACTGGAGCCACAGCAACTCAGGTAGTAGTCCTTGTCTTTGATTAGAAGTAAATATTGGATTCTGGCACTTGCAAGGGAGGATTTAGCAATGAACCATTTCACTGGGCCCTGTAGAATTCAATAAAAAGAAAGAAAGAAAACGTTTGTATATACTGTGCCACTTAACTGTTTGTCTCCCAGCTCTATCGTCATTCTTTCATGCTGTGTTAAAATAAATGCACAAGTGCCAGTTGGCATGAGGCTAGGTTTTGTCAGTAGAGGGCGCCAGACAGTCAGTGTTGGAGGAAATGATTTTGCTTTAAAGTTCCTGCAGGTGGCTTTTCTAGAGGCCAGCTGCTGAAATACACCCCAAAAAAGTGTATACACCAAAAAGCCAACAGCTTTCCCCAACACTCCCCTGTGAGGTTATTTATTTATTTATTTTGTTTGAAAGCCAAAGTTACAGAGAGGAAGTGAGGAAGAGACAGATTGGTCCTCCATCCACTGGTTTACTTTCCAAATGGCGTCAAGAGCCAGAGCTGAGGCTAACAGAAGCCAGGAGCGTCTTCCTGGTCTCCTATGTGGGTGCAGGGTCCCAAAGACTTGAGTCATCCTCTGCTGCTTGTCCAGGCCACAAGTAGGGAGCCTGATAGGACTTTTTGGAGCCACCAGGACTAAACCAGCACTTGTATGGGATGTGGGTGCCACAGGTGGTGGCATGACGTGCGATGCCAGGGCTCTGACCCCTGATTGTACAGTTGACTTGTTACCACTGAGCTCAGGGCCAGAGCACGTGGTAATTCAAGCCTGAATCACAACGTTTCCTCCTTTAGACACAGCACCGCCTTGTTCTCCTTAGGGCACCAATGCTTGGACACCACTTTTCAGAACTATGCCAGCAGCCATTTTTAAACAGCAAAATCACTAACAAAAGGCACAGACCCGTCTGCACGAGGACTGCATCCTTCATCATATGAACACCTGAAGAGAAAAGCAACACACATCCTTGGTGGACATCAGTTGCTAGTGTGCCTGTGAGTGACCGGAACTTTCCTCCAGTGATGGCAGGAGTACCACGAGTCCTGAGGTAGAGCTCTATGTCAGTGAGCATGGAATCCATGACGGCTGGACGAAGAACTGTGGACAGGCTGGAATAATGAGGAGTCGAATAGAGAGAGGGAAGGGGACTCGATACAAACATCAGATACAAGCACCTGCTCCTGCCCGTCTGACTGTGACAGGACACCAAGGAAGAACCTATTTCACTCCCAGGGCTAAGATCCTGACTGAGCTGGGAGAGCACAGCCCTGGCTCACTAAATGGCCATGGAGATAGTTGCTGTGGTGTAATGGAGCTTGCTGGAAATCTGCCCCTTACTCTACACTGTTTGTGGGAAAGATATCTCACACCTATAAAACTTCAGAAGAACAGGCAGCATTGTGGCGTTAAGACTAATCCTCTGGCTGCAGCACCAGCATCCCGGACGGATGCCAGTTCAAGGCCCAGCTTCTCCACTTCCCATCCAGCTCCCTGCTTGTGACCTGGGAAGGCAGCAGAAGAGAGTTCAAGTTCTTGGGCTCTTGCACCCACATGGGAGATTGGGAAGGAGCTCCTGGCTCCTGGTTCTGGATTGGCTCAGCTCTGGATGTTGCAGCCATTTGGGAACTGGCAGATGGAAGACCTTTCTTTCTCTACTTCTCCCCATAAATCTGACTTACCTTTCCAATAAAAATAATCTCTTTTGTTTTTAAAGTGCAATTGGCTTTGGCCTGCCTCAGCCTCAGCTGTTGTGGGTCTAGAACAAGAAGATGGAAGATCTCTCTCTTTCTCCCCCTTCTATCATAATATATGTCAAATAAATACATAAACAAATATTTTTTAAAGTTGCTGATGAAAGTTTGAAAACAGAGGGCCCAACCTGCATTGACCAGGATCCTAAGAGGCGCACCTGTTCCACTTCCTATCCAGCTCCCTGCTTGTGGCCTGGGAAAGCAGTGAGGACGGCCCAAAGCCTTGGGACCTGGTGGTAGACCAGAAAAAGTCCCTGGCTTCTGACTATGGATCTGCTCAGCTCTGGATGAAAGCTCTTTCTCTATGTCTCTCCTTCTCTCTGTAAATCTGTCTTTGTAATAAAAAATAAATATATCTTACAAAAAGTGCATAGAATTTTGAAAAAATAATTGCAGATGAAAAACTGTGATTAATTCACTTTTTGTGGAAATTAATAGTGGATTTGTGTATTTAAATATGCAGTAGATAAACATCTCCTGCTCCCCCACTGTAATGGAAGCCAGGACTACCATACGGGAGGCAGGAACCCAACCACCTCAGACACCTCTGCTGCCTCCCAGGTTCCCCTGGGCCAAAGCTGGAGTGATGTGACGAGCGGGGCTGAGCGGGGGACACAGGCATCTTCACCTCTAGGCTGAATGCCTGAACCCTGGCGTCTCTACAAGTTCCACGCATCCTGATCATACAAGCACACTGGACAGAGAGCATCCAAGTCCACCCCACAAGCACCGTCGAAGGGCTATGTCTCCACATCCCAGTCACATGCTGAGTCCCTGGGGGCTAGGCTTCAGCACACGATTTTGGAGGAGACAAAATTCATCCCACAACAGAACTGATAGTCTTGGGGACAGTCTATAAAATAACAGACGATTAGTTACACAGTCTCCCTATTGGAGACTATGGCAAAATGACCAGTTGGAGCAACGCAAAAGGGATCTAGCGCTGGACGTCAGACGGGAAGCAGAGGTTGCGAGGGGACAGTGGCAGTGATCTCAATGAGCATGTAGATTGGGTAACAGGATTATGCCTACCCGGTTTCCTCGCCTGGGTAATCGCACTGTGATTATGTATGTTGCCAATATTTGGGGAGGTCTGGGTGAGGGGCAGATGGGAACTCTTTGTACTATTTCTGTAACTTTCTCCCAAGTCTGGAATTCTTTTCAAGCTCAGACATTTAAAGTGTAAGAAAGTAGGTAAATGAGGACAAATGAAAGGAGCCAGCTGGAGGGAGGGGAACAAAGATGGGACTGGACATGCCTGCGCAGGCAGAAGCAGCAGCCATGAGATAAATGCAGTCCCATGAGGTGAGAGACCCTGTCTGGGTTGCTGGCACCCTCTGCCCTAGGACAGTGCTGGGAGCTCAGGCCGCATCCCGGGGGTGGAGAGCGACCAAGAGAAGGCACTAGGCATTGGGCCTCAGCTCACACCTGGGAAGGGCCTCAAGTGTTAACTTTTCAGATTCTCCCCAGACCAAGGCGGTGCCATCAGTGTTCTGTGTCACCAAAGCACTACTCACTTGCATGCAAACATTAAAAAAAAAAGCTGCAGTTCAGGTAACTGAGTTTTGTTATCTCTTTGCTTTCTTTCCCCCCTAATTTTGTGAGATACAATTCACAATAAGCATTCAATTCTTCATTCAATGATATACTCACAGTGCAATGGATCCAGTACCGCTATCTAATTACAAATGGAACCATCTGCCCAGTCATTTCGGATTGCTGCATTGCCCAACACCACGACCAGCACTAATCTGCCTCCTGTCTCTCTGAATTTGCCTGTCCTGGCCAATTTCACGTGAATGGGTCCGTGCACCTAGTGGAGCAGGACCAGGCATAGTTCAAAGGCTGAGTTTCCCCTCAGACTCGTGGCCACAGGGTTGGATGCGCGGACTGGGTGTGTTTAGGGCGCCCAATCGCTTCGGAGCGTCTGAGCGTCTGGAAGTGGCAGGTGCGGGCGGCTGTGGAGCCGCGGCGGGCGTGGGCGGCATCCGCTGGGTGCTGAAGCCCGGCTGGGCGGGCGGTCGCTCCGGACGCCCACGGCGCGGGCATGGCGGGCTGGTGGCGGGCGCTGGCGCGGGCGGCCCAACGCCACCCCTGGCCCACCAACGTGCTGCTCTACACCAGCCTCTACTCGGCCGGAGACGCGCTGCAGCAGAGACTGCGGGGCGGCCCTGCCGACTGGCGCCAGACGCGGCGCGTGGCTACGCTGGCCGTGACCTTCCATGCCAACTTCAACTATGTGTGGCTGCGCCTGCTGGAACGCGCGCTGCCGGGCCGCGCTCCGCGCACCGTCCTGGCCAAAGTGCTGTGCGACCAGACGCTGGGCTGGCCCGTGGCCCTCTCCACCTTCTATGTCGGTGAGACGGCCAGGGTCCCAGGACTGGGAGACCAGAAACAGGGGCAGGCTCATTTAAAGGGGGTGGGAGGAACTCGCTGCAGGGGCTTGTGGCTGGAGCCCAGAAGCGCAAGGAACCTGGGACCGGGAACCAGGGCTGGAAGTCAGGGCACAGTGGCTGGGCTGTCTGGGGATCAGGCTTGGAGAAACTGAAGGTCCAGGTGTCAGGGATTGAGGTAGCTGAGGTTGAAACTGAGATGTTAGGGTTTGGCAGAGTCCAAAGCAGAGGATAAAGCAGGGCCAAGAGGTTCATTTCCTTGCAGAAAGGCCCTCAGGAACATTGAGGAGATGTGGTCTCCAAGTCGTAGCAATGCAATTCCTGGGGGCCTTCCTGCTCCCAGAACAGCCACCCACACACTATGGGGGAACTGGTGGAACCTGGCATTGGGCCTGGCTCTTCTGTCATGCCTGGGTCCTGGTCTTGCTTTGGTAACAAGATCACCCTAGGGAAGACCTGGACAGACAATGTGGGGAGACCTCAGACACTTGCCATAGGGACCCCACTCCTTGGACTATTGTCCTGCGACTGGAGAGCCTGGCTTGGGGAACCTTCCTGATGCCTGAGTGCCAGGAATAACAGGAGGGGCTCTGGTGCCACCACCATCCTTTACAATTTCTATAGCCTGGCAGATATTGGGGCAAGTAAAGTGGGGAGGAGTGCTCATTTCTTTGAGAAATTTCCGTAGTTCCCCCAGAATGGGAGAGGCTCTCTCAGTGGCTGTTGGTGTGTCCTAAACCAGGGTGGAGATCAGGCAGAGCCACTGTCCTGGAGGAACTCTGGCCTGTGGCTTTTAGTTTGAGGGCCACACTCAGTTCCCTTTTCCCCAGACTGCACAGGAAGCCAGGAAGGGCTGCTTTGCTGCAGCCTCTGCTGGCAGGACCAAAGGGCTCTGCAGAAGGCACCAGTCAGGCTGCAGAGGTCTCCTGATCTCCTAGCTGTGGACCAGGGCCCAGGCTCTGATCCCCTAGAACCAGGCTCCTCTGCCTGGTAAGACAGTGGCCTTGAGCACTGCAGTGAGAATGGCTGGGGGCTGGGATCTTAGGGTCCCGATTCTAGGTGCCCCTAACTCCTGGTTACAGGGCGTCTCAGAGGGTGTCTGGGTAACTCATCCAAAGATAATGTGATCCAAGCCCTGTTCTTAATTTGGATGCTCTAATGGTGATGGTGTTGTCAGTCAGTCTGACACCAGAAAGATGCTATGGACACAGGGCTGGGCAGCCTAAGATTCAGGATGGAGGCACTTAGTACAGATTCTTGTCCAGTATGCTACTTTCCTTGGTGCTTTTTTTTTTCCCCATCACATTTCTAGTCCAGTTTCCTTCTCCTCATGTTACCATGAAGGTGGGAGGAGGTGCACTGGGTGTTTGTTTAAGGCATTCTTTGAAAATTGCATGGCAAAGGATTAGATGATGCTTTGTCCCAGGGCCACCTTAGGGAGCCAGTATGGTAGTAGATTAAGGTCTGGTTAGGGAATCAGACACCTGGGTTGCACCCCTCTGGAATTTAACCTCTTTTCTTCCTTTTAACGTTTCCTCTTCAGTGAATTGTTGGGTGGGTCAAATGAAATGAGGCACATAGGGTGCTTGGCATTTAATCAATGCTGGGTAAGTGGAACACGACATTGCTGCTATTCACTTCCTAAATGCCTGGGTTAGGCTGAAGTCTGGAGCGTGGAAATTGTTTTCTTTTACTTTTTAAAGATTTTATTTTTCTTGGAAGCAGCGTTTTAGAGAAAAAGAGAGAGACACACACACAGAGAGGTCTTCCATCAGTTGGTTCACTCTTCAAATGGCTGCAACAGCTAGAGTTGAGCCTCTGGAGCAAGGAGCTTCTTCCTGGTCTCCCACATGGGTGCTGGGGCCCAAGGCCTTGAGCCATCCTCTGCTGCTTTCCTAGGCTACTAGTGGAGAGCTGGATGGGAGGTGGATCAGCAGGGACATGAACCCAAGTCCACATGGGATGCCAGCACTGCAGGTGGAAGCTTAGGCTACCATGCCACAGTGCCAGCCTCAGGTGCCTGGAATTCTGAGGTTTCCACATGGGGGCAGGATGCTAAGCACTTGGACAATCTCCTGTTGCCTGTCAGGATATCCCTTAACAGGAAGAGACAGGAAGGGAACCCAACCATTGTGATATAGGATGAGGGTATCCCAAGCAGGGACTTAAATGACTAACCACTGCAGCAAAGGCTGTCCTGTTAAAGGATTCTTTTAAAGATCGTTTGTGGCATTTATATCCTGCATTTGGATTCCATGTTTATCATCCCTTAAAAATTAGTCTAGTTTTCAACCTCAGCCTGTTTTTACTGTTGAGTCAGAAGGAACATAGTGAATGGCTGATAGTAATTACTTTGCATATTGAAATAGGTAACTTTATATAAGCTGTTACACAGTAATCTTCCTACTGAACCTTTCAAAATTCCTTTGGGTTTTGTGTGTGTATGTGTCATAGGTATGAGCTTTCTCCAAGGAGATGAGGACATATTTCTGGACCTGAAGCAGAAATTCTGGAATACATATAAGGTATTTGAAAATGTAACCATATCTTCTTTTGAAAAGTGAAATCAGTATCTTTTTAAGTAGTCTTTTTTTTTAACATTAAGTACTTTTTTAATAAAACTGTTCTTGCATTCATGTTCCAGTTTGGTTGGTACATGGGTTCTTTTTTTTTTTTATTTTTAAAGACTGATTTATTTGAAAGGCAGAGTGACACGGAGAGAGGGAGATGGAGCAATTGACTGGATCAATTCCTACAAGGTTGCAACACAGTCAAGACCTCTATCCTGAATTTCTACCTGGGTGTCAGGGGCTCTCACACTTTGGCCATCTTCCACTAACTTCCCAGGTTTGTTGACAGGGAGCTAGACTGGAGGTGTAGCAGTCAGGGTCTGAACTGGCTCTCCCATATGGGATGCATTGTATAGTGTGTGGCTTAATGTTCTCGCTTGCCATGTTCAGAACCCATGTATGTTTTCCAGGTGTGCACTGTGCAGAGCCCCTGGGGACAGAACCTTCTCAGCGTCACACGGGTATTGACAGAGAAGGATGATGCTTCCCACAGGCTTTCCTAGACCTAAGGCAAGACACCTGCTGCACAGTGTGCTTAGTAAAAACAAACATGAACATAACCCAGTCTAGCAAATACTGATGCATTTGCTTGATCAAGATTTACTGAACAATGTCTTGGAGGCCTGAGAAAAACCAGAGATACTTTTCATCTCTGGTTTGGAGCTTTGTTCGATTACCTTTAATGACAATGGGGTGGTGCTTCAGGATCCCAGAATATACACAGACTGGACTATGGCTTCATATGTACTTAATTCTCCACTGAAAGTCGTGCCAAGCCACATCCAGCTATTACCCACACTGGTTTTAGTGCGTGTTGTTGAGTGGTGTCACCCATGTGAGTGGCAGACCGCAACTACAAGGAAAGAGTGTTCAGGGTAGTACCTGAGATACAGTCTTCTCTTTCACAGCATAAACATTTTAAATATACTATGTATGCTTATTTTAATTGAAAAGCAGTGAGATGGAAACTGAGACGGCTCCACCACCTGCTGATCTACTTAAAAAAAATGCCTAACATCTAGGCTGGGCCGGGCTGAAGCCAAGAGGCATGAACACAACCTGGGGTCTCAAGGACTTGTGCCCATGGGGTGTACATATCAGCAGGAAGCTGGAACAGGAAGCAGAGTTGGGGCTCAAGCCTAGGCACTCTGACATGGGATGTGGGGGTCCCAAGGAAGACATAAAACAGCTTGGCCAAGTACCTGCCTCCTATAGCTTTAAAAAAACCCCCACCTATTTGGAAGTGATTTCAAACATACAGAAAATATTAAGAGTTGTTCAAAGAACACACATGTACCCTTTGCTCAAACTTACCTGCTATAAGTATTTTGTGCCGTTTACTTTGCTGCTTATTATCTTTCCACCCATCCATCTATTCATTATCTGATTTTCTAAATCATTTGAGAGTAAGTTATATGCAACTGCTGCTTACTCCTAAATTCTTAAGTCTTTCTTGTTAAAGTAAAGCTATTTTCTTATACAACCACACTTGTACAGTTATCAACTTCAGTGAACTTAAAATGTGCCTGGGAAAAGTGTCAGAAGATGGTCCAAGTGCTTGGGCTTCTGCCACCCATGTAAGCCTCTGGCTCCTTGCTTCTACCTGGCCCAGTCCTGGCCATTGCAGCCATCTGGGGATAGAAGCAGAGGATGGAAAAATCAATCTCTCTCTAATGCTGCCCTTCAAATAAATTCAATCATTAAAAACAAGAGAAAACCTCTCTTTTTGTTTTGAGATAGGAAGTACATACCAAGGCCTCTCTCATATTTTGAAATGCCTAATGGTAATTTTTCTGTGTGTCAGAATGTGTAAAATGAAACCCGTTAACATATGCCTGTTGGGGTTGGGATATTGTGTGGCTCCTATCCCACATCAGGGTGCTGGTTCGAGACCTGGCTGTTCCTACTAATGTGCCTGGGAAAGCAATGTAGGTTGGCCCAGGTAGTTGGGTTCCTGACACCCACGTGGGAGACCCAGAGGGAGTTCTTGGTTTCAGTGTGAAGCAGCCCCCACTTGCTGCACACATTTGGGCAGTGAACCAGCAGATGGAAAATTTCTCCTCCTGTCACTCTGTCTTTCACATGAAGCAAACAAATCAAAACATGCCTCACAGATTTTCCCACAACACTCTGCCCTCTCAGCTCTAGGAGCCTATTATTAATCAGCTTAGTCTGAAATACTTCCTGGGCATGCTCTCCACCTGGCATCTTAATCTTGCACAGAATGAGCTGTGTGATCGTTTGTGCCATTGGGAGGCATTTCTAATACGGTTTTTCTGTATTGCAGACTGGTCTGATGTACTGGCCCTTTGTACAGGTGAGTTGGACACGCCTCAGAACACCAAGTCATGGCTTTGGCCTCTGTGGAGACCTCATCGCCCCTCTCTCTTTCTCTGTTCCAGCTGACCAACTTTGGCCTCATTCCTGTTCACTTGAGGACAGCTTTCATTGGACTCTGTGGTTTCCTCTGGGCCACCTTCCTTTGCTTTTCTCAGCAGAGCGGTGATGGCACGTTGAGCTCAGCTCTCACTCTGCTTGTCAGAAAGGGAGCCGGTGCAGCCGAGAGGCCCCCGGGGGAATGAGGTGGCACCGACTCCAAGTGACCACAGTTGGTGTTCCTGAAGCACTCGGCTCACTGGTCATGTGCTGCATTGTGAAGAATCACTGTTCCACAGATCCACTTGTTTTCAATTATCAGTGATTATTTACATTTTTATACAGATCTTCTCCTCCCATTCCAGTGTGAAAGTCTTGCTTAATATTTTCACTTCTCTCAAATTTTGGTCAATACCACAACAGTGGCAGATGCCTAGTTTAGAATAAGTAATATTTGTATTCTAATATTTTAATGCCAGTTGATTTCAGGAACTCCAAGTTTGATTTTTACTTCTGCATTTTAAAATCTCAGGTTCTCTCCTAAACATTTGGGTTAAATTGCCTTTTATACCAAAAATAGTCCTTATAGTAAAATTTCTACTTACATACCACTGAGTCAACAAGAAGACTGAATAATCAGATTCTGCCCCATACCTTATGATTTATTGTTGTGCTGATACTAAAATTCTGAAGTACATGTGTATCACCAGAACAAAAATAGTGTTTTCTGAGTGTGTTCTTTATTGAACATGTTTTATCAATGTCTTCTACTTCCTTTTCTTTTTTTAAAGGTTTATTTTATTTTTATTGGAAAGGCAGATTTACAGAGAGAAGGAGAGACAGAGAGAAAGATCTTCTGTCTGCTGGTTCACTCCTCAAGTGGCCACCACAGCTGGTGCTGAGCTGATTCGAAGCCAGGAACCCTGAGTTTCTTCCAGGGTCTCCCACACGGGTTCAGGGTCCCAAGGCCTGGGGCTGAGCTCCACTGCTTTCCAGTGGAGTTCATGGGTCATGAACCCATGCCCATATGGGATCCCAGTGCATTCAAGGCAAGGACTTTAGCCACTAGGTTATCGTTGCTGGGCCCTACTTTCCTTTTCCCCAATCCAAGGACATTTTCATTACTGATTTTTGGTGTTGAGCGATTCAGTTGTCTGGAACACTCCATTCCCCAGCTGTATGAAGTAATGTGGCTTCTGACTGATATTCCCTGAACGGGAAGGGCTAAAACAAGTTTTCCTTTCTCTGGTAGGAAGAACTCTCCCCAACAGGACACCAGGGAAGTTAGTTACCCACACATTGGCATTTATTTTTAAAATTTTGTGCTCTCATAGAAATCTTTATACTTTTAGGCATACATGAGAAACTTGATTCTATCTTTCTGATTTTTTGAGTAGTCTCAGGTTTAAAGATTTTTATGACTATCTCATGAAGTTTCAGCAAATTTCACCTAAGAAGTACCCCATCCTGTTGCTCCAGGTGTGTTTCACGGATTTCAAGATGTTGAGCACTGAGCTATTAACTTATCTCAAGAATGTGTGCTTATAATTAACTTAAGAATGTGTACCTAAAATCTCTATGTATATATAATTTTAATATGTAAGGAAAAATGGTTATATATATAACTTCTAAATATATAATTTATCTGAATTGAATAGATATTGGTTTATTTTATATTAGGATAACAGTAAGGAAATTGCTAGGTGGTCTCACTGTAAAATCATTTATTGTATTGTTTTAAAAGCAACTATTATAACAGGAAAGCTATTTTGTGATCAGTTAGAGAAGTTTTGTTGGCATAAGCTTATGCAGGGGAATTATGGCAAGTACTACTGGCCGGCATTTTAGATGACCTTCAGCGTTACTTTTATGATGCAGGCTTTGGGAAAACAGATCTTGCTTATACTTTGAGAAATTAAGAGAGAGAAAGAGAGAGGCTTGTTATTCAGAAACAGCAGGATATAATGGTCTTCACTCAATACTGTATTGTGCATTGTACTATACACAATACATATCTTCCAAATTTTTGCAAATGATACACTTAATTTTCAAGCAATAGTAATTCTGTGTTTTGGTGTAAAAAAATGGAACTTATTCTAAACACAGGCATACTTTTACCAGTTCATGGGAAAGTGGAATTAGAAATATGAGTTCATTTGGGTACAAAACAATGTTGAAACCCATGTGTAAGTTTTTTTTTTAATAATATGCATTGTCTATATATTATTACAATTTCTCATCAAAATTTTTTTCGTTCTGTTTTCTATGAAAGTTTTGAAGTACCCTCAAAGTACAATGTATGGCTGTGGTAAAATTCTGCCATTTTCAGGGACACATGTCCTGGACCTTCCAAGATCACATCTGAGCAGGCTGCCACTCTTTCTCTGAGGTTTCAGTATCCCCTGAGTTTTGTTTACATCCACTGGATATTTATCCTGCATCCCTCAGGGCAGCCTCTCCACATGTCTTGGCCTTGAACCATTACAATTGAGAGGTAGTCAGGATCCCATTGTTCTGGACGCTTTTTTAGTTCTGGTCTGTGAGCTATGTCTTTTCCTGGGTAACTGAAAGTGATTTTTTTTGTTTCGTGGGAAAACTTCCCTTCTATACAAAAGGACGCAGCTATCCTTATAGTCCATCAGAATATCCATAGTTATTGAGAAACCATAACCCTCATAGAATGAAGTCAACTAATGTCAGTAAATGGCTGGTGTGGGGACAGAATCTTAAACACCGGAATGATGACTATTTTCAGGGAATTCACATTCCAGCTGGGAGGATAAACAGAAAGAACTGACCATCAGGATTGGGATCTGCTCCAACCCATCGTGCTTGAATGGCATCTGGGAGAGGTGGCCAACAGAAAGCATGACTGTTACTCTAGTTATACTCCCAGCTGTAGGTAGGTTAGTGACATAAGTAGTGGGTACTTTGAGATCACGGTGGCAATCTGAGGTGGGAGAGTCTCCCTGGAGAAGACTCTTGAGTCAGACCTGGAAGGTCGGACAGGCACAAGACTTTCATGGTCTGAGAACTAGAGCAGCGGTGGTAGAATGTGATGAGGTTTGGAAAGAGAAAGGGGAGGCACTTGAGTTCTAACCCAGAGGGGAAATTCCTATTGACCATCCCTCTTCCCTGCATGACAAATCACGTTCAATCAGCAACTTGGCTATCTTCAGTTGTAGAAAACCTAAATAAAAGTCATTCTCTCATCTGTATCCTGGTTGTTTTGTGGGAATTAGGTGACTAAATAGCTTGTATGTATGTGCATATGATTTTCAAATAATCAAGTTTAAGAGTTGCACATAGAAACTTTTTTTTTTTAGTAAGACTCCCATGATTTTTTTGTAAAGTTTATTTTTCTCTAAAAAAAATATGTATTCATTCATCTGAAAGAGCTAAAGAGAGAAGGGAAGGAAAAGAAAGACCATCTGCTGGTTCACTCATCAAATGGTCACACTAGCCAGGGCTTGTCCAAATCAAAACAGGGAGGCAGGAGCAATTCCTCTAGGTCTCCCACATTAGATGCAGAGTAGCAACTGGGCCATTTCTACTGCTTTCCAAGGCATATTAGCAGGGAGTCAGATCAGAAGTAGAGCAGCCGGGACTTGAATGGCACCCATATGGGATACTAGTGTCAGTTTTGCCATGACAGTTTTGCCAGCGATGCCACAAAGCCAATTCCCTATATTTTTCTTAACATTTGCTCAGCAAAGTGAATTGGTTGAGAAATAAGTTGATTTTCTGCCCACTATACAAACTGAAATCTAGCTGTTAGGAATTCATATAAATGAAGGATACCTTCAGGAAAAGCTTAACCCTTGGGGATGCTAGGCAAAGGCCTGCTCTAGCTCTAGAAATGACTTTGAAATCAGTAGACCTTACGTGTCCCTTTCTTTCCTGATGCCTTCTTCCTCTGGGTGCCCTTCCCTGTTGTTCTCTATGGCTATGACTTTGTAATTTAGTTCCCGAAATAGCTCTCCTTTTTCTCATCTTCTCAAAACGAATTTTCTTCAGCTGGCTGATTTCAGCTAGGTGTTAGAGAAGCACAGTTATTAAGCTGATTTACAGTATGTGGAGGTCAGCCTTCTTGGCTGAGGTTTTTTTTTTTTTTTTTTACATTAAAATTAATAGCAGAAACATCTCTGGATAAATTTTTGGGAACTGATTCGGGGGCGCTTTTGGACAAAGATTTCTGCTGTACTGCTCTTTATGCTGCCTATTTCCATGGGATTAAAATCAGCCAGGCAGATCTTTGTCATTTCTGAATATTGTCACTGTAGTAGACACAATGGCAATTTCTATTTGTCCATTCCTAACACTTCTATTGGTGTCTTAGTCCACTGTGCCATGAGGTCAGAAGGAGCCCTTCATATTCTGGGTAGCATGTTTTCTGAAAGCAAAGCTGCATCTATTTATTTATTTATTTATTTATTTATTTATTTATCTTTAAAATGTATTTATTTATTTTTTTAAATTGGAAAGTCAGATATACAGAGAGAATGAGAGACAGAGAGGAAAAGCTTCCGTTTGTTGATTCACTCCCTAGCAGTCACAACATCAGATCTGAGCCGATCCGAAGCCAGGAGCGTGGAGCTTCTTCTGGGTCTCCCACATAGGTGCAGGGTCCCAAGGCCTTGGGCCGTCCTCGACTGTCTTCCCTGGCCACAAGCAGGCTGGATGGGAAGTGGATCTGCCAGGATTAGAACCTGGGCCCATATGGGGTCCCGGCACGTTCAAGGCCAGGACCTTAACCATTACGCTATCGTGCCTGGCCCCTGTAATCTTTATTTTTAAGTTTCAATTTAATGTATATCATGTACATTGAAATTCTGAATCACTGTGACTTAGTGTATATGAAAAATAAATGAATTTTAATTAAAAGCACAAAATGGCTGTTTTTTTATCATGGGCGTTGTGAGTATTCTGGGATATGTGTAAGAGTAATGAGTTTTATAACCTGTTATCTTTCTTATTCATATTTATTGCAAACACAGAGATTCATGTCTTCACTTTGGATGTGTATTGAGATACTAATTGCCCTTATCTGTTCTCTATCATTTATTGAATTCTGTCATATGTTGGCCTATTTTCTTTTATGTCACCATGGAGTTGACATAATTCCCCAGCTACTTCTCACAAAAATCATGCTTTCTTGCACACCCTGAAAGGCAGGAGGTAGTGGTTCAAGTGCTTGAATTCCTGCTACCCATGTAGGACAACTGGACAGAGCTGCAGGCTCCTGGTTTCAGCTTGGCACAGCTTTGGCTTTTGCAAGCATCAAGAGCATGAACTAGCAGATGGCAGGTCTTTCTCTGTCTCCCTCTTTCAAACTAAAATAAATAATTATTTTTAAAAAATACATTATTTGTGTAGCTTAAGTAGGAAAAAATGCAGGGTTAGGACTCCTTTTATTAGCA